ACATTGCTTGATTCTACAATCCACACCAATGAAAGCAGCAGTCAGGACATCAGACGACATATAGCACTGGGCAAGTCTTCTGCAAAGGACCTCTTTCAAGTGCTGAGGAGCAAAGATGTCTCCCTGAGGACTAAGGTGCGCCTGACACAAGCCATGATATTTTCAATTGCCTCATATGCATGTGAGAGCTGGGCAATGAATAAAGAAGACTGAAGAAGAACTGATGCTTTTGAGATGTGGTGCTGGAGAAGAATGCTGAAAGTACCATGGACTGCTAAAAGAACTAACAAATCTGTCCTGGAGGAAGTAAGTGCAGCAGGAGTGCTCCTTGGAAGTGAGAATGGCCAGACTTCGTCTCACCTACTTTGGTCATGTTGTCAGAAGGACCATTCTCTGGAGAAGGATGTTATGCTGGGTAAGGTCGACGAAGGAGGGGAAGGCCATCAGCGAGATGGATTGACACAGTGGCTGTGGCAATGGGCTCAAGTATACCAGGGGTGATGGAGCTGGCGTGGGACCGGGCGGTGTTTTGTTCTGTTGTGCATAGGGTCGCTATGAGTCAGAGACTGTACCTAACAACAACAACATAGAGCTGACATTCTCTGTTGCTGGGTAAAAAGAACACTGGAAGGGGCTGGAGATGAAATGGGAGAATTTTCAGTGAATAACATGACCTAGGGATCTCCAATTCATGGTTTATTTTCAAAGTTAGAGAAAAACTATACAAACATTTTTTTGATGGCAATTGTTTTATATTATGTTCTGTAATGACAGAACTAACATTCCTTCATTCATTCTACATTCCCATTGTTGACATTCAGGTTATTTTGGAAATACTATAATGAAGAAATTACTTTTCTATTCTTATTTTAAAGAGTTTTACTTTGAAATATTTCTTTAGTATTCATAGATAAGCATATAGAACATTTAGTGTGATAATGAAGTATATTTTATGAATTTTTCTTGTTTTGTGGTAGCCTTCTAGAGTATTTTGTGGTTTTGTTTCACAAGTAATAAGTACCAACAAATTATATATTAGTAGGTGCCAGGTGCTGTTTTCAGTGCTCCACAAATATTGTCTCATTTAATACCCACATCACATCTAAGAGGTAGGTATTTTTAACGTGCATTTTAAAAATAAATTACATAAGACACTGAGGGGTTAAAGCCCTTGTCAGATTATCTGTAACAAGTAAATGGCATAAAGATGAATCAAATTCAAGCAATTTTAATACAGAATCTGAGCTGTTCTCCATACAATGCCGTACTGATTCCTTACCTTAACAGATCTCCTATGTTATGAAATTATTTTTATATGCTACTATTTTATTTGCATCTTAATATCTATATTAATAAATGATGCATTTGACACTTTATTAGATTTTGTGGTTCAACAGGATCACATTTATAAGTTTATAAAACAGAAAAGCTTGTTTGTAATATATTCACTGTGAACAGTCAGATGATTTGGAGGAGGAAGGGGTCCCTGAGTGGTGCAAATGGGTAAACCCTGGGCCACTAACAGAAAGGCTGGTGATTCATGGGCCTCAGATTGACTCAGTGGCACCTAATGACAACAGTGCCTTTGACAATGGTTTTCATTTTCTTCCTCATTTATTGGTCTATTATATTCTCTGTGGACTTTCCTTTTCTATGATAGTTGGAGCTATATGTCAACTTAGCTGGACCATAATTCTGTGTGGTTTAAGCAATTGTGATGTTGGTTATTCCCATGATGGGATCAGATGTATATGTTTTGGGCAGCCAATCTGTGGTAAGGGAGTTTCCCTAGGGGTGTGGCCTGCTTCCAATACATTTATGGACATCCTGGGAAAAGAGACTCTCTTCTGTGGATCGGGATCCTGTTGTGCTGCCTACAACTGTCCATGAGTGAACAATCCACCATTTGGCCTGGTGATCTTGGATTTGTAAATGGTTGGAGTCAACAGCTGATATACTGCCTGCCAACCTTGAACTCCTCAGCCCCTGCAGCTGCATGAGTCATGAAAAGCCTGCAGCTTGACGTTTAATCCAAGAACTTGGGACTTGCCAGCTTCTATAAGTGTGTGAGCCATTTTCTTAAGATAAATTTCTATATATATGTGTGTGTGTGTGTATAAGCTTTACAGGTTTTTGCTTCTCTAGAGAATCCAGATTAACACATTTTCCAAAGCATTTTCAGATCTGTTTATTTCATTTGACCTTCAGAACATTGCTATAAAGGCATGTTTCATTATCCTCTTACCAAAGATGATGAAATTGAAGTCCAGAGAAGTAAACAGTTTCCTTAAATTTGCAAACTTACTTGGTTGTATAGCTGACATGTCCTTGCTCCTATGTACAAGGTCCCTAGACTGGGCCATGCTGACCCTGATGACAGTCCTATGTAAGGATCTGAATCCTCTGTACCTTTCAAGGCTAACAGACCTCTGGGAGGAGAATATGCATGGGAGCTAATCTTTAATATCCTCTTGAGCAGAGGAGGGTAGACTGACCCCAGGGTTCATGTTGAGTGCTGGGGTGAGTAGTCCAATCTGTGAATCATACCACTGGGCCTTTTACAAACAGAGATTGCACTTGCTCCACCCCAGACTGTGGTCAGTGGGAACGTGAGGGGTGACAAAGTTGGGGGGAATGATACTTTCCATAGACAGCCAGAATAGCTGAATATTTGCTTCAAACCAAAGAAAATACATACTCTCGCAAACTTGCATGAGTTGTCCAGTTGCTTAAAATGAGTATCAGTCTCTCTATCATCTTATTGTCAGACCTTTCATACTGTCTACCCAGTGAGTGATGAGTCATGTCAAACTCAGTGCTCATTGGCTTCTTTGTCAGAGTCTGTCCAATCCCAGGAGACATGGGAAACTATTTCAGTTCATGGTCTCTGTTATTTCAGAAGGGGTTTCCATTTAGTGAATCCTTCCCTGACAGCAAGTCTCTCCACCTCCCCATCCTTTTCCAGCTCCATGATGGTCCTGCAGGTGCCTGAGGCCCTCTGGACACCAGCTCTGACAGTGTTACTGGTGGTGCTGAGCTATCCCATGGTCCAGGGCAGGGCTACTCCAGGTAAGTGCACAGCAGCCGTTCCCGGAGTGCCTGGCTCAAGGAACAACTGCCAGGGCCCAGACTCTGAGACAAGCTGTAGGGGGCTCATGCCATACCCCAGAGTTCTTCCTGCCCAATTAGAAAGTTGGTCTTATCCTCTTTATGCTCTTCTGTGGGCCTATCCTCTCTCCAAGAGATGTAGGCACAGTAAGCGGGAAGAGATGGTGCCAAGGGGTCAGTATGGTTGTCTATTGTGGGAAATGGGTGCTACAGGTCTGGAATTTGGAGGGGCACAACTTCTATGAGGAGGTCAGCTTCTTGGGCATCTTCCCTTCTGCATCAGAAGCTTAAGGGGACTTATATAGAGAGCTACAGGCTGGAGTCCAGGCTCTCAGGATTACCCTGCCAATTCACGGTCAGGTCAAGGGATTTCATTTTTGAGGGCAGAGCAAGAGCCCACTTCCTAGGACAGTGATGCGAGGGAAGGAAGGGGGAGAGACAGGCTGTCATTCCAGCCCATGTTCGTATCATTGAAGGTCATTCTCTCAACCTTTTCAGGACTTGATCAGAATATTCATAGGATTGGTAGAGATTTGCAGGAAGAATGAGATGAGATTTGTGGATATGTGAAAGGGACTGATGGTAGGTTACCAGAGGGCCAAGGAAGGAATAACCTGGGAGAGACTTCTTCCTCTTGCTGCCTCACTGTGACCAGTTTAATATCATGACTGCTAGGATTCTGTACATATTCGCAGGGTGCTTACTTTCTAGTCCAAATTTATACCTAACATCCTGAGAAGCAGGACTAGAGAGTAGGTCATCTTGGTTTCTCACTAACTCCCACTTTTTCTTCCACACAGCTTCCTTTAACCCCTCTGCAACTCATCTTAAGACATGATGCCTTCATTTCATTTTTTGATTTCCAGAGGTAACAGCATTTGAATCTTCTGAGTACAGCCCTCAAGCCCTAAGGTCCCTCTCCTATTTCACTGAATGTCTTTGCTGAAATGGGAGGGAACTTTGCAGATGTTAGTCATAGAGGGATACTGGAACTAACTAGCACCACAGCTCAGCCTTCAGAATCCTGGGAATTAGAGTGGGATGAGGCTGGAGAAGGAGGAGGCTCGAGATGTGTCTGGATGATAGTGAGTAATGCTCCACAGGAGATGAGGGAAGCAATACCTAGATCCCAGGGGAAGTGCTGGCCTACAGAATAATGTACAGTGGTGGGAATGATGGTAATCCCATAGGTGGAATGAACAGAGAGCAAAGTGTTGCCTGTGATGATAGGAGAAGGAGGTCATGGACAGGAAAAATGTGGACTAAGATTTGTAGGAAAAATTAGATGAGAACATGTAGCTGTGTGAAGAGGGTTGAGGGTAGTTTACCACAGCATATACTCAGTAAAAACCTTCATGTGGACCTGGAGTCACATGGGAATGTGGATAGAGTAAGCAGGGAAGTTTCTGTAATTCCCTTCATACTTTTCCAACTCCCAGCCTCAAAGAGGGCAGAAGAGAAAGTCATGAGAGGACAGCCTTTAGGTTAAAGGGGCCCAGGTTAGAAAAGCTTGGTTGAGACAACCTCCATTGATTATGAGGGGATGATATAGCAGATGGGAGCTCAAAACAAACAAACAAAAAAAAACCCCAAAGTTATGGAAGCAGCATCATTTTAGCCCTGACAGACTTTTAAATGAGCTTTTATGACTGAGGTTCCCTCATCACTGCACTTACTATGCCAAAGTTTTAGGGCCACAGTCCCAAGTCCTTCCTGTCACATTAGCTGGGCAGTTGGAGAAGCTCATTGTAGATTTGAATCTTTGAATTGTTACTCTTTTTGTCATTTTCATACCTCAAGTAAAATCATTAGCAAAAGGAGAAGTGATAATATCTAGTCAGCAGATGGTCAACAAAAGCTTCTCAGCAATAAAGGTCTGGTCCAAATAGCAGCTCTGCTTGAGATTTCCCAGCAGCCCATGGGCTGAACTGGTCCTTCCCTCCAGGAATTTTCTTTAGAATTTTGCACAGATTAAAATAGAGCATACATTGGAAAGGGGTCGGGACTAAGTATATTGAGCAGTGTCAGACACAATGCTACATGCTTTATGTAAGTTAATTTGTCTAATTCTCACAGTAGTTCCTCAAGGTAAATGGTAGTCTTGCTCTATTCTTTTCAAGAAATGGAGATTTAGACAGGTTATTGCCCAACATTACATGATAATAAGTGGTAGAGCTGGGGCTTGAAACCATATCTTCAATGTGTTCTTTTTCTCCTACCATATTGCCTCCATTATACCCTCCTATAATTATGTTTTAAAATATAGACTGTTTTGAATGAGAGATGATTTCCCTTAGATAAGCACTTTTCAAGCAGTACTCTGGGCAACTTAGAGTTGCTTTAAACAAACAATAGGAATTTCTCATACACATATAAAAAATGAAAATTTTAAATTGTGCCATGAACCCACTCATCACTTACGTTTAGTTTGCAGGTAAAATTACATTTGAAACCAAAAATGAATGGTGTTTTTATTAAAAATAAAGTTTCAAAGTCACTTTTCTAGACAGACAGAAATGTTCCCTGATTGATAAATGGGGAGGGAAAACAAGGAATTGCCTATTAAAATTACAGGAAACACATTCAGAGTTGGGGCAGTTGAGTGGGGAGGGGCAATGACTGGCAGAGACAGAGGACTCTTCAGACAGAAAGTCTGAAGGGGCTGGGGCACAAGGCACCAGGAAAGGAAGCAGGAAAGGTGGGCTATCTGAACCAAGAAGTGGGATACTGCCTTAGCACTGACTTTGTAGACTGAAGGCTTTTATGGTGGTCCCTGAGGCTAATCCTGCCAGTTGGGCAGCTTCTGACTGTGGGCACAGAAGCACTGAGGTAGAACAGAAGTCACCAGATGAACTAAATTTATTCCAGACATTGCTATGATGACAGAAGTAGCAGCCAGGTCACTCCACAACCACCCCTTCCTTTTTTCTCCTGGAAACTCCAGACTTAGTGATATCCTCAGGCAGTTTCCCCAATGTCTAAGGGTAGAGTTGGCTGCCCAGCTTCATCTGGGGCTTTGGGCCCCTCAATTTTGGCTTCAACTTTCCCACTTCCTCTTATTTAGTCCTCTTCTGACATGAACAAAAGCATGTGACCATCCTATTTAAAAACACATTTGCAGCCTCACCACATATTAAATGTTGTCTCACAAGTTATGCGATAAACATGATCTGGTATTTAAATATAGAAAATCTGATTAAAAAATGAACTCAGCACAGAAAAATATACAGCAAAGAAATTATCAACACCATAATAATAATAATAAAACAGAATGATAGCAGTAAATTGATACCTATCAATAATTACACTGAAAGTAAGTAGATTAAATGCACCAGTCAAAAGATAAAGAATGGCAGAATGGATAAGAAAATAGGACTCATCAATATGCTGCCTACAAGAAACTTACCTGAGATACAAAAATAAACTAAAAATCAAAGAATGGAAAATAGTATGTATCAAGCAAACAGCAAACAAAAAAGAACAAAAGTAGCAATATTTATTTCTAATAAAACAGACTTCAAGGTAAAAACCAGCATAAGAGACAAGGAAGAGCATTACGTAATAATTAAAGGGTCAATCCAGCCAGAGGATATAACCATAATAAATTTCTATGCACTTAATGAAACAGCCCCCAAAGACATAACTACTAACAGGATTGAAAAAAGAAATAGACAACTCCACAATAATAGTAGGAGATTTTGACACACCACTTTTGATGAAGGAAGGAACAACTAGAAAGAAACTCAACAAAGATACAGAAGATCTAAACAATACAGTCAACCAACTCGACCTTATAGACACTACAGAATACACAGAACTCTATTTATATACAGAACACCCCACCCACAAAAACACAATACACTTTCTTTTCCAGTGAAAGGGATCATCTCCAGAATAGACCATTTGTTAGGCCACAAAGCAAGCTTCAATAAATTTAGAAACATTGAAATAATACAAAGCATCCTCTTGGATCACAACACTACAAATTAGAAAGCAGTAACAGGAAGATCAGGGGCGGGGGGAAGTCTATACATGGAAACGGAATAAGACCCTGTTTAAAAACTCTGGGTAATAGAAGAAATATAAAACATTTAAATGTGTGGTATTATTTTTAATGAAATAACAGAATATTATTTAAAAACATATTTAATAAGCATTGTAGTGTTCCCACTTATGATCTAGGTACATACCATTTTTACACACATAATGGTGTGTGTTATACTTTTTGCAAATCTACAACTTCCTCAGGCATTAGTTTCATAAGTGTGATATGCATGTGATGTGTATACGTGCATTATTTACACGGACATGTTACATTAGAAACATGCAGTATTCACGTCAGTTGTTTGCTCATTTATTCACTGGTACACAAATACTTCCTAAACAGTGCATTAGATACTGGATACTGAAGGCTAGACAGTAGTTATTTGCCTGAAGACGTTAACTTGAGGAGTTCCAGTAAGATGGTGAAAGAGGCAGAAAGACTGCACAGACCCTCTTCAACAAAGAAAAGGGGAACAATTAACACAGACGCAGAAGATAATCCTGGACCCCTTAGCCTTGAAAGGAAGGATATAGAAGTGGACTAAACTCCAACCAGCAGAAGAATTTGCATGAAAACACCAAAAAAGGAGACATATGGAGCTGCGATCTGGCAGCAATCCTGAGGGCACAGACAGCTTGGATATTGCCGAGTGTTGGTAGGACCTAAGAATTAACCTAAAAATCAGCCCTACCAGCCAGGGACTACACGGAAGACTGTTCTGGTGGCTGAGGAATAAATGGGAAAGCAGCATGGACTTTTGCCTGTCTGGAGGGCACAACCATTTTGAATGTTTACAAGCAGTTTGACCATTTTGGATATTTAAAGTGACAGCTTTTCCAGATTCCAAGGACTTAAGAACAGGCTATACTTGCCGGGAACCACAAGGACATTCCGGATGTGGATGACTGGAAAGGTG